AAGATACGCTCCAGCACATCGAACAGGAAGCGAAGCTCCAACTCGGACACTTCATCATCCAGGTACTGGATCAGCTCTTCGCCACCCAGCGTATTCTTCAGGAATTCGACAACGGGGTCCACCACCGTCAAGCCGGCCTCGAATTTCTCCAACGCCGTAATGAAATATGCCAGCAGTTCGGAAAGCGTCGTTGACCGTTTTCGCAACAGGGTGCAAAATGACCTACCGTCAAACGTGCCAGTGGCGATGACCCGCTGCTTCGCCTCTGGAACATCGCCGTCTTGGTCCTTGGCTGCTCTTTTCATCTAAATGATCATACTGACGCCCTGAACCAGTGATCAAATTTGCCTATTGGAAGCCAGTCGTCGAAGCCGTCGCCCCTTAGACAGGCTTGAACATACACACACGAACAACCATCAGGCATACCTGTGAGCACCTAGGAGTAATAGAAATACTTCGTCGAAAGAGTAAAAAGTACCTAAAACTGCACTAGCTCTTGTCTCTCTGTGTATATCACACTTTTAATCCCTGCAACCCCTGACACAGAGCATATACACCGATTACACATACAAGCACCAGCAACTGTTCAACGGTATTCCTGCTATCACGCCCCGATGGCCCACTGGGTACTTGGTAACAGCCGGGTTCCGCGTTCCACTAACATGAAAGATAAAAAACGGCAGGCTTTCAAAGATATATCCGTTCACGAACAAATTTCAATGGTTCTTTGGTTCACACAGGAATCATTCATTGTAATAAGCAACTAGATTTTAACACTTGTAAAATCCAGCTCACTTCAGTACTAAAGTGATGTCTAGTAAGTAATGCTGCCATAATTGCTGCCAACATCACCTTAATTCCTACTAAACTCTTAAGAATATAACAAGTTGTCAAGGAAAGAATGTTAAATGTTGATGGGTGTTCGATAGGAGCAGGTTGCGCAACGAAGATATAAGCGCATATTAGACAGTGGTTTTATATTAAGGGCTAAAGAAAGTATACGATGATGAGGAGGTACCTTAAATATGGACAAAATGGTACTTAAGGGGCAACTACAGATGACCAATCAGAAGTTGAACCCAACGAAAGGTGCGGAAACTTGCGATGACAAATCACAAGAGTCAGACCGCCGAACATAATGCCGTTGAAAATGACTGACGGAACCCGGGGAACAAACATCACCTCTTAAGAAAATGAACATGAAAGTTTGCAACCGTTGAAAACCAGTCGACGTTACACTTCCATGGAATGTGCCATTCATGGCATCCTTTTATCACGGAATCTATGGAAAGGCACTAATTAACGCTTCAATGTCATCGGCTAGCATTAGAAGCATCGTATCTTAAGGGCAACGTCTATACCGTGTAGCATTCTGCTTCCTTTTCCAAGTGGTATTTGTTTATCTACCTTGGAAGAATGAAAGACGAACGACTCCGGAAGCCCAAGATCCATCATCATTCGACTTTTTTGGAACTAGCCCGGTGTTAAATGATTCGACAGAACGAGTAATATGTCAAGCGTTAGTAATCATATTCGATACAAAACAAATATTCATTTACAACAAACTAATACAGTGGTTTATGGGGATCATACACGACTACCCACGTTTCTGCCCATATTCATTTACTGACACTTCCCATAGGGTGAAGCCAATGTTCATTTGTAAGTTGAAAGAACATGGTTTACGGTAAACCATAAAAAAGAAACCATATTTTGTGATGACGAAACTCTAGAAAATATAACACAACAGGTCGGTAACGGTTTGTTATCAGTACACGCCTACCGGATTCAATTCTATTAATATGCTAGGGAAGGCATCTGCATCGTTGTTCAAAAGATTCAAAATTTCAAGAAATTTCAAAACGATGAAAATACAAATACACACAAAGTTCGGGCGTGTCTATCTCTAAAGAATAGTAACCAAAACAACCCTATGGCTTCAACAGTACAGTACAGTTTAATGTCAAATATGACTTAACCAGAAAAAGATATAACGTAATTGTGCGCTTACTATTTTGTTCTTCTGTTCAACAGTCATAATTTGCTCAGCTTCAACAGCAGCAGTTGGACAATAAATATTTCGACTGAATGGTTCTTCACAAAGCCACCATCAAAACGGGCGTCTAAGAAGCGGTAAGTGAGGGAAGTAAGCGACTAAAGGATTAATGAATGTCAAGGATTAGTCACTGATAAAACAGGACACTCGTTGCAAGCCCTAAAGCATGGAACGATCGGCGGAAGGGGAGAAGATGATCCATTTTAATTTCTGAAGAAAACACCATTTGTTTTCCACC